TAACCACGCCCGGCTGATTTTTGATTTATGTAGAGATGAGGTCTCGCTGCCCCAGGTGGGTCTCGAACCCGCAGGCTCAGGCAATCCACTCACCTCAGCCTCCCAAAGGCGCGGGATTACAGGCTGAGCCATCGAGCCCGGCTTGGAGATAATTTTTGATTGTCTTCACTGGGTGAGTGATGCCACTGACATCTGGTGTGTAGAGAGGTTAGGGATGTCAAAATTCTCTGATGCCCAGGACAACCCCCACTACAGGTAGTTATCCATCCCCAAATGATCAACCTAGCTGAAGTCGGAGAAACTGTGCTTGACAGTAAGGCTCTGGTCCAAGCTACACTTCCTAACTGTGATACCCTAGCAAAGTCACTTAACTCTTCTGAACCTCGTCGTTGCATAGAATTAGTTCCAAGAAACTTTGCAACTCTAATGTTCAACAACTTTAGTCAAAAAACATTCATTAAGTACCAACTGTATGCAAGACACGGGGCATTTATTTTTTCTTTTCTTTTTTGAGTTGTAGTCTCACTCTTTTGCCCAGGCTGGAGTGCAGGAGCAGTGGCACGCTCACAGCTACTTGCAGCCTTGACCTGTTGGTCTCAGATGATCCTTCTGCCTCAATCTTCCCAGTAGCTGGAACCACAGGTGAGTGCCACCACGTCTGGCTAATTTTTTGATTTATTGTAGAGACAAGGTCTTGTCAAGTTGTCCAGGCTGGTCTTGAACCCCTGGGCTCAGGCAATTCTTCGCCTTGGTCTCCCAAAGTGCTGGGATTACAGGCATGAACCACCATGCCCAGCCTCACAGTGGTATTTCTATGCAAGACACTTCTCTGATATGGAATAATACACTTGGCAAACACTTTGAAAATGTGGTTGGGTTTTACATTGTAACATGTAATGATTGCTTTTACAATCTTGCATAAATTGTGCTTTGTTTTCTGTGGTACTTCCTTGTCCTTAGCAGAATTTAGAAAAATGAAGTCACAGCATCATAGCTTTTATTTTTGTTTCTATGTCATAAATGCATGCACTAATGAGGGCTTTGGGGGCATGAGCTTGCTAGTTGACGATGGAACTATGGGCATATGTGCAAACAACCATAATCAACATTTTCACACTTTGTTAATTGAAGCCAATCTTTTGTTTGAGAATTAACAAAATATTTATTGCAGTTAGTTCTGATCTACAATATATTGTTAATTCACAGTGGCTCTCACAGTGACTGATTGAGGTAGAACGTGCGGAAGGTCTTGTAGGAATGAACAGGCAAGAGCCTTCCTTGGATAAGTATTTGGCCATTGTCCTTGGTCTCTGAGCAGCTGTTGGTAGAAAATAATGGTGTCTCAGCTAGGGTGACCAATTTTTTTCTTGTTTGCCTGGGATTTTCACTAGTTTTAACACCAAAAGTTCCATGTCCCAGGAAACTTCTTAATCCTGGGCAAACCTGGATGGTTGGTCATCCTAGGGGAGACTGAGAATCCACTTGCAAAAGAAACACACTCTCCAAGAAGGCCCGGCCAAGATAGAAATGGAAAACTCCTTCATGTTCAGTGCTTCCTGATCTGTTTTGTTCTTTGTATATTAATGGAAATGTAGCTAGAATAATTAACAGAAAAAGGGGAATGATGGTGGAGGGGGCACATCGGTTAGAGGAAATAGCTTGTGCAAAGGCCCTGAAGAAGGATAAAGAACTCATCATGTAGTCAAAGGAGCCTGGTGATACTGGAGCAGAATGACATGAGGGGAAAGTGGTGTAAGAAAGAGTTGGAAAGGTAGGCTTTGGGACTTTATTTTAAAATCAGTGGATGTGGAGAAAAGGGAACTCTTGTACAAAGTTGGTGGGAATGTAGATTGGTACAGTCGTTATGGAAAAGAATATGAAGGTTTCTAAAGAAATGAAACATAGAACTACCGTATGACCCAGTAAGTCCTCTTCTGAGCATATACCCAGAGGAAATGAAATCACCACCTTGAAAAGATATCTGCACGCCCTTGTTCATTGCAGGATTATTCATAATAGCTGAGCTGTGGATACAATCTAACTGTCCATTGACAGATGAGTGGATAATGAAACTGTGGTACACATATACAATGAGATATTATTTAGCACTAGAAAGAATGAGATCTTGCCATTTTCCACAACATGGATGAGCCTGGAGGATACTGTGCTAAGGGAAATAAACCAGATATGGAAAAAAAATATTGCATGATCTCATTTACATTTGGAATCTAAAAAAACCCCCCAAATATACAGAGATAGAGAACAAAACTAGTTATCTGGGGTGAGAGTGGGAGGGTGGCAGGGAAAGGAAATGGGGAGATGTAGGTTAGGGAATACAAAGAGGCAGACACGCAAGATGACCAAGTTTAGAGTGCTAATGTACCATGTGAGGACTATAGGTAATACCATTGTACTGCATATGGGATTCATGCTAAATGGTTAGATTTTAGCTGCTCTTGCCATAAAAACTGAAAAAAATGGATAACTTTGTGAGATGATGAATATATATGTATCCTATAACATGTTTATACCTTAAATAGACATAAAATTTATTTAAAGAAAGTTAGTGGAAAAGACACTGGAGGATTTAAATGGAAAGATGACATGATTATAAAGTACTTACATTACAAAAATCATTCTAACTTAATAATGGAGAATTGATGTAGGATGGGGGTGGGCCAAGATAAAAGCAGAGAGACCAGTTAGGAGAGAGATAGGAGTGGCTTGGACCACACTGGTGGCAGTTGTAGTGATGAGAGAGGAATCTGAGAAGTATTTGAAAGACTAATCAATAGGAGTAGGGGACTGACAGGATATGGAGAGGCTTTTGGTGTGACCACTGGGCTGATGGAGGGGCCATTGGGATGCCAACTGGACCTATGAAGGTGAGATGGGGATGGCTGACAGAGGAGGTTGGATAAATGCTTATTGGAGATCAAGACTTAATGCTGGTGTACTAAACTGGAGATATCTTGGAGGTCCTCAGTAAACTTGTTGAGAATAGAGTTGGATATCAGTCTGGGTGAGGCTAGAGGTAACGATTTGGGAGTTTTTAGTGCATAGATTAGAATGCATGAAATTACTAAGGCAAGAATGCAATAAAAGATGAGGGTTCTTGGCTAAGCCTTGAGCCTAGGTTTCCTAGGTTGGGTGCCCATCAACGATCCTGAGAAAAGGGTTTATGTGTACATAGTTTAATTGGGAGGTGATCCCAGAAGTGTACGGTGAGAAAGTGGAGAAACAAGACAGGGAAGATATGGTAGTTTAAATATGGCCATTAATTATTTGAAACTTCTTGTATCAAGAAGTGGAATCTATTACCCCACTTCTAGAATGTGGGCTGAACTTATGATTTGTTTTGATCAACAGAATGTGGCAGCAATGAAGTTGTGCTATTTCCAGATCCATGTTTACCCTTTGGGCATGTTCCTACTCCCGTGTAAGAAAGCCTAGACTAGACTACAAAGTGATGAGAGTCCATGTGGAAAGAAAATCCCGTCCAACAGCCAGCACCAAGGCCCAGATATGTGAGTGAGGACATCTAAGACCCACCAGCCACAGCTGAGCTGCAAGATGACTGCAACCTCCTGAGTGATGCCAGCAGAAGAACTGCTCAGCTGAGCCCAGCCCAAACTGCAGAATCATGATGAAATAAAGGATTGTGACTTTAAGTTTTGGGGTGTTTGTTACACAACAATAGATAACTGATAATATTTTAGAAATGCCATGTTAAAATATTGCAAGATGATATAAAATTTATACTTGGGTCCAAAATATCAACAGTTTAGATGAAGGATGGGGAGAAGATATGACTTAACATTACCCAAGGAAAATATGTGAGGAGCTTTAGTTTACTCTGAACTCAATCAGTGTCAGTAGTTTGATGTGGACATCCAAAAAGCTAATACAACAGACCTCAGGAGGCATTCATGAAAGCATCACTAAAGGGAAAAAAATTCACATCGGTAGGTTGCTAAGACCATCAGATGATCCATTGTCAAAATCTGGAGAGGATTTTGCACTAATTTAAGAGGTTAAAGCAGGATTAGATGAAAATAAGTTCTTAGCATGCTGAAGAAAAAGGCAAAGAATTGGTACTAGTTGTCACAGGCAGGCAAAGGAACAAAGGGCGAAAGAGTCTGCTTTTACATACAAGCTTCCCAGTTTATTAAGGAAAGATGCTTTTATGGTGAACATCTGAGATTCACCAGGAGCATTCATGTTGCTATGGTGATGTAATGGTCTTCCAGAGGGAGGCTGGGCTATTCTCCGTAGTCATCTATGGAAGGGGTTCCTGGGGCATTGGGAGACACAGGCCTTTCAGTACTTCGTTTTTTTTTTTTTCTGATCGGACTTTTCCAGATGCCACTGCTATAGGCAGTAGATCTCAAATTTAAGAGTGTATCAGAATCACCAGGAGGGCTTGTTGAAACACAGATGACTAGACCCCTCCTCCAGAGTTTCTGATTCAGTGGGCCTGGAGTGGGGTCCAATAATTTGCATTTCTAAAATGTTCGCACGTGATGCTAATGCTGCTGGTCCAGGGACCATATTTTGAGAGCACTGCCTTAGTGATGAGGCCCAAAGCTGCCCTACAGTTATATAAAAGGAAATGGATATTAAATTGATCTTTTCAGCTCATACTTTCTCTTTCTCTCTCTCTTTCTCTTTCTCTTTCTCTCTCTGTCAACAGGATCTCACTCTATCACCCAGGCTGTGGTGGCATGATCGTAGCTTACTGCAGCCTCACTTCCTAAGCTCAAGTGATCTGCCTGCCTTAATCTTCCAAAGTGCTTGGATTACAGGTGTGAACTGTCACACCCAGTCCATAACTTTGTTCTAATGCTGTTCTCTCCACTGTGGAACAAATGAGTGTGTGTGTGTGTGTGTGTGTGTGTGTGTGAGAGAGAGAGAGAGAGAGAAAGAGAGAGAGAGAGAGAGAGAGAGAGGACTTTGTTCTTTCTACTGCTGGGTGAATGGCCCCCAGTTAAAGTTTTCTAATGTTAGACTTCTTTCGTCTTTCTAGTCTTCTTCATGTCAACATAATGTTCAACATTTTTGCCTCCTGATGATGTCTGGCATCCATTTGTCAAAACTCTCTGACAGGAAACATATTTGTTTATATCTCCCTAAACTCTGGCTGCACATTCGAATCCCCTGGGATTAAAAAATCCCCATGTTGACCCCAACTCAAATGAATTAAATCAAGATCTCTAGGGGAAAGGAGAATGTCATCAGTTTAAAAGCAAAAAAAACCTTCTCAGGGATCATATAAAACAAAGGCAGGGATCATATAAAACAAAGGCGAATATTGACATATCCCTTGTTTCAGCGATGGTAACAGGTTCTGCACAGGGATAATTCTAGGCCAGTGATTCTCAACCTTGGCTACACATCAGAATCAACTGGAAAGCTTTTACAACTCTGGATGCTCAGGCAGTACCCAAGACCAGTTTAATTAGAATTTCAAGGCGGTAGGATCCAGGCATCAGTAGTTTAATAAATTTCCCATGTGATTTCAAGGTATAGGCAAGGTTGAAAACTACTGACTGGCCTGAAAGTATCTTTATGTAAGACCTGTATTGTTCCAGGCCTTGGCAAGGGGCTATGAAAGACTTAGCCTGAAGCACAGGGTCAGTAGGTTCTGGTTCCACAGCAATTGGGATTTCACCTTGGAGCGCAGAGACACTAGCACAGCTGAGCAGTGGCCCCTACTCAAAGGCCTAGTTTTTAGCTTTGCAGAGTCCTTTGTCCAAGCTTCTGAGTGTTAATAATACCAATTCTTCCCTTTTTTCCCTGACTCTCAGGGTGGTAGGTGTTTGCTGCAGCTGTTGCCTCTAGTATACCTTATTGTTTTTTCCTTGCCTTTTCAGTATCTGGCTAATAGTTTTATAACTAATTACGAGTTATTTACATTAGGTGGTATGGTTTTGGCCCCCGACCAGATCCTGACTGATAAACTCAATACATATGGAGAAGAAGGAAATGTGGAACTGACATGGGGATAATTTGTGTTCTTGGATGGCAAGAAATGGAACAAGTGCAACAGAAAGAACATTCAAAGATGAAATGGAAGACAACATTCCTATTGTTTAGCTCAAAAAGGGTTACTAAGCAAAGTTAACGCCAGGGAAAAAACTAACAGTGACTCATATACTTTGATGAAAATATTACATTTCAAGGAAAAAGAAAAACATCCAATGAAAATTCGGCAGAAGAAGCAGGTTTCTTCAAAGAAAATAAAAATCAGATGACCTCAGCTTTTAATTCTGACATTAGATTCCAGAAGAAAAGGAAGCAACGAAAACAATGGAGACAAAAGAATAGGGTCCAAACTTTCCTCAAAGTTGATATTTACATGTGACTCAAATGTGCAAGGAGTTAGGGATTATTTCCTCCATATGTCCTTCTTTGGAAAAACAAAGTGGGGAGGAAATTTGAAAATGTGCTCTAGTCAACCAAGAAATGAATCATAATGAAGACCTTACAAGAAAAGCAACTAGTATTTCTGGGAAAGAACATGGTTATATGGGGGTGTGGCTTGAAACTATTTACATATAAAATGGAATTTAAATAACCATGAAAAATTATAATTCTTAAGGCAAAATACATACCATAAAATAGCCCCAGATTTTAAGAGACAGAGGCAAAATTTCACAGAGCATATCATCACAGAAGATGGGGGTGAAGAGATAACAAGAAAGTAAAAGAAAGTGGTTATTTTTATCTTTCCCAAAAGGAATCAATATCTACTTTTTCATTTTGGAAGTTAAAAACTTCAGACATGTAACTAAAGCATGTTATTTAAAGGTTTAAAAAGAATCAATAGTAGAGCTGAAAACATTCTACTTACCAGATGAATAGAAGGGAAGAAAAACTAGAAAATAAGAGAATGGAAGCACATAAAACATAAAACAAGAAAATGGAATTAAGACCAAAGATATCTTTTACGGAAACACATGTAAGTTAAAACACATGCACTTACCCACAAAAAGAAAATTACTCTCAGCCTGGGTAAATCCAATCCAAGTTCAACCATATGCTGACTTCAAAGCATAAACCTGAAATGAAATAATTAAGGCAGAATAGTTACAGATACACCAGCCAAAAGCAAACAAAAAGGAGGCAGGAGTCACAATATTACTATCAGGGGAAGGGGAATTCAAGGTAAACATTATTCAGTGAGATAGAGGGATCACTTAAACTGATGAAGGATTTAGCCCACAACCAAGATATAACAGTTATGCATGATATGTAGCATACAAATATGCATAGAAAAAGTTGAAAATACAAAATGCAATGAGAAATGGACAGAAAAGTGATTAGTGAGAAACGTGAAAAAATTTGCTTAATTCTGGACAAATCAAATTGGCACAAATATCAATTATGCCATGGAGAAGATTTAAATAACAGAGTAGCATGAATAACGTATGTGCAGACCAAATCTCTGCCTCCCTCAGATTCTGGAAGGGGAATTCAAGGGCCTTACTTCCAAGTCCCTAATTGCCCTTTGTAAACTGGGTCCTGGGATGAAAGGGAGCAAATGGGCAGACAGTAGAGAAGGCAGAGTTTGGAATTCTTGTTACTGGACTTCAGTCTCATCACTATAACTAACTGCTGTGCAAACTTAGGCAAGATGCTTCACCACTCTTAACCTCAGAATTTTCACCCATAAAATCTGAAATAGGCTGGGCGAGGTAGCTTATACCTATAATCCCAGCACCTTTGGGAGGTGGAGGCAGGAGGATTGCTTGAGACCAGGAGTTCAAGACCAGCCTGGGCAGCATAGTGAGACCTCGTTTCTGCAAAAGAAAAAAAAAATTAGTCTGGTGTGGTGGCATGCACCTGTAGTCCCAGCTACTTGAGAGGCTGAGGTGAAAGGATCACCTGAGCCCAGGAGGTCGAGGCTGCGGTGAGCCATGATCGTGCCACTGCACTCTAGTCTGGGCAACAAAGTGAGACCCTGACTCAAAAAGAAAAAAATCTGTAATAATTTCTCCTCAGAGATCTGGTAAAAATTAAACAAGGCCCTCTCTGAGAAACAGTAGTACTTGACCAGAGCAGACAAGCAATATGTATTTTCTTGCAGGATGATAAACAGCTGGCATAGTGTGAACTGGATCCTGTAATTATCACCAAGCTACACATCCATATGTCTATAGCAGGGTTTCTTGGCTTCAGCATTACTGACATCTGAGCTGCATAATTCTTTGTAGTGGGGATAGGGGGCTGTCCCGTGCAGTGTGGGATGATGAGCAGTGTCCCTGGCCTCTCCCACTAAATACCAGTGGCACCCCTTCCCAGTTGTGACAACCAAGGATGTCTCCAGACATTGTCGGATATCCCCCAGGGGACAAAATTGCCCTCAGTTGAGAATCATTGGAGCAGAGCGATATTTGCAAGAATACAAAAGTGGATGATTTGCCTCTGGGTGGTGAGATCTAGGGGCATTTTATTTCATTTAGCCTGTTCTGCATTTCTGAAAGCAGAATCTGCAAAGTGCATACATTAACAAATACTCAATATTTTATTTTATTCTTATTTATTTTGTGGAATCAGAGGCCAGGTTGTCCCCTCTCTGTTCTCTGCTCTGGCCTCTGGCCCCTGAGGAGATACTTATTCGAACTTCTTTTGTGGGTGGCTGCACTTGGCCTCTAGTAAGTGCCCAATC